CACCTACAATTCCCCACATGGCAGATTCTTGTCATTGTTGATAGCTACAGTGCCTTCAGAAAACATTCACACCTCTTCACTTTTTCAACATTTTGTCAACGATCTACACAAAATACTCTGTAATGTCAAAGTAGAAGAAAAGTTATATATCTTTTTAATTAATGGAAAATAAAAGACGAATATATCTTGATTAGATAAGTATTCAACCCCCTGAGTCAATACATGTTAGAATCACCTTTGGCAGCAATTACAGCTGTGAGTCTTTCTGGGAAGTTTCTAAGAGCTTTGCACACCTGAAGTGTACAATATTTGCCCATTATTCTTTTACAAAATTGCCAAGCTCTGTAAGCAACTTCAGTGTATATTTGGCCGTGTGTTTTAGGTTATTGTCCTGCTGATAGGTGAATTTGTCTCCCAGTGTCTGTTGGAAAGCAGACTGAACCAGGTTTTCCTCTAGGATTGTGCCTGTGCTTAGCTCTATTCCGTTTCTTTTTATAAAAAAAAAAAAATCCCTAGTCCTTGCCGGTGACAAGCATACCCATAACATGATGCGGACACAACTATTCTTGAAAATATGAAGAGTGGTACTCAGTGATGTGTTGTGCTTGATTTTCCCCAAACATAATGCTATGTATGTACAGTGAGGGAAAAAAGTATTTGATCCCCTGCTGATTTTGTACGTTTGCCCACTGACAAAGACATGATCAGTCTATAATTTTAATGGTAGGTTTATTTGTAAAAGACACCTGGGAGCCAGACATCTTTCTAATTGAGAGGGGGTCAAATACTTATTTCCCTCATTAAAATGCAAATCAATTTATAAAAAAAATTATATGCGTTTTTCTGGATTTATTCTGTCTCTCACTGTTCAAATAAACCTACCATTAAAATTATAGACTGATCATTTCTTTGTCAGTGGGCAAACGTACAAAATCAGCATGGGAACAAATACTTTTTTCCCTCACTGTATGATGTTGGTCAAAAAGTTAATTTCTTTGCCACATTTTTGGCAGTATTACTTTAGTGCTTATTGCAAACAGGATGCATGTTTTGTGATATTTTTGCAGGCTTCCTTCTTTTCACTCTGTCATTTATGTTAGAATTGTGGAGTAACTACAATGTTGTTGATCCATCCTCAGGTATCTCCTATCACAGCCATTCATCTCTGTGACTGTTTTAATTACTATTGGCCTCATGGTGAAATCCCTGAGTGGTGTCCTTCCTCTCCGGCAATTGATTTAGGAAGGGCACCTGTATCTTTGTAGTAACTGGGTGTATTGATACACCATCCAAAGTGTAACATTAATAACTGCTCCATGCTCAAAGGGATATTCAATGTCTGCTTTTTTTACCCATCTACCAATAGGTGCCCTTCTTTGCGAACCATAGGAAAACCTCCCTGGTCTTTGTGGTTGAATCTGTGCTTGAAATTCACTGCTCGAATCTTAAGGACCTTACAGATAATTGTAAGTGAGGGGTAAAGAGATGCAGTAGTCGTTTAAAAATCATGTTAAAAAGTATTATCGTAAACAAGTTGGGTCCACGCAACCTATTATGTGACATGTTAAGCAAATTTGTATTCCTGAACTTATTTAGGCTTGCCATAACAAAAGGGCTGAATACTTATTGACTCAAGACGTATCAGCTTTTCATTTTGAATTAATTTGTAAACATTTCTAAAAACATATTCTACTTTGACACAAACTCTGACACAATGACACAAAATCTAAATGTAATCCATTTTAAAGTCAGACTGTAACACAACAAAATGTGGAAAAAGTCAAGGGGTGTGAACACTTTCTGAAGACACTGTATCTGGCCATCCAGAATCACAACAACACACAGACTTCTGCCCCATTGAAACGTGCACATCGTTGTCATGACGTTGTCAGCTAACCCATCTTTTTTGTGTGCTCTAAAATATGGAGTATGTCTAGATTCTGAAATTAAAACATGCACATTAAGGTAATCAACATAAACCATATTCACATAAATATATCAAAAGTACCTTTTTTTTTTTCTTTTTTTGACATATTGTTTTAAACAATATACTCTACAAGCACATACAAGTTCTAGAATGGGATCTGTGCTACTTTTGAACTACCAACACAGTGAATGAGAAAATGGATTCAAAGGGAATCCCTCTGCTGGCGATTTGCTGAATGTGTATAAACTTAATGTGTACTTATCTACATAAGTACAAGAGAGCCCACGTGGAAATTTGACATGTTTGAAGAGTATATTGTTCCAAACAATATGTCTAAAAATAAGCTAAATCCAAAAGGGTACTATTTGGCCATATATAGGCCTGTACATTTACAGATATTGGTTAGCCTGCAGACAGACATTATCTAGCCTAGTTTAGTATCTAGCCTGAGGTCCACAGCACAACCCCCACAAACAAAGTGAGTATTCCTACCTGGCCTATTGATTTGGATCATTCAGAGACAGGTGTTGTCTTGTCCCCATGGATTGGTGAACGTAATTAGTGCCTAATAATCAATAACCGACCAAATGAGAGTGGAGTTGAGTTGCTACCAGTGCAGCTTTGCATGAGGAGAGGGTAAACAGACAGGTGTGAGTGCTGTCGATAAGAGCTGGATGGGTGTGGGAAAACTCCACTAACACAAGCAAGATAATGGGAAACCATTGGAGCATACACTGCCAAGTTGGAGCAGATGCAGTATACTTCAGCAGAAAGGAAAGAGATGGCACTTTAAGTTAACATCTGGTCTGTGATGTTTTACAGTCCATTTCAATAGGTTTAAACGTATTACTGCATCATCTGGCAATCATTGCTTTCAGATGTTATAGCTACTTTCCAGATTTCACAGGGCTAGATTCTGTCTCCTACTGTAAGCCTGGGTAATCCCTGACAGCACCCTCTCCTACTCCTCTGTCCCCCCCAACAGCTTCTCCCTTATTTACCCCCCACCCCAGGCCTTCATCTATGTCCACCACGCAGCTACAGTGAGGGAAAAAAGTATTTGATCCCCTGCTGATTTTGTACGTTTGCCCACTGACAAAGACATGATCAGTCTATAATTTTAATGGTAGGTTTATTTGAACAGTGAGAGACAGAATAACAGCAACAAAATCCAGAAAAACGCATGTCAAAAATGTAATAAATTGATTTGCATTTTATTGAGGGAAATAAGTATTTGACCCCTCTGCAAAACATGACTTAGTAGTTGGTGGCAAAACCCTTGTTGGCAATCACATTAGGTCAAACATTTCTTGTAGTTGGCCATCAGGTTTGCACACATCTCAGGAGGGATTTTGTTCCACTCCTCTTTGCAGATCTTCTCCAAGTCATTAAGGTTTCGAGGCTGACGTTTGGCAACTCGAACCTTCAGCTCCCTCCACAGATTTTCTATGGGATTAAGGTCTGGAGACTGGCTAGGCCACTCCAGGACCTTAATGTGCTTCTTCTTGAGCCACTCCTTTGTTGCCTTGGCCGTGTGTTTTGGTTCATTGTCATGCTGGAATACCCATCCACGACCCATTTTCAATGCCCTGGCTGAGAGAAGGAGGTTCTCACCAAAGATTTGACGGTACATGGCCACGTCCATCGTCCCTTTGATGCATTGAAGTTGTCCTGTCCCCTTAGAAGAAAAACACCCCCAAAGCATACTGTTTCCACCTCCATGTTTGACAGTGGGGATGGTGTTCTTGGGGTCATAGACAGCATTCCTCCTCCTCCAAATACGGCGAGTTGAGTTGATGCCAAAGAGCTCCATTTTGGTCTCATCTGACCACAACACTTTCACCCAGTTCTAATCTGAATCATTCAGATGTCCATTGGCAAACTTCAGACGGGCCTGTGTATGTGCTTTCTTGAGCAAGGGGACCTTGCGGGCGCTGCAGGATTTCAGTCCTTCACGGCGTAGTGTGTTACCAATTGTTTTCTTGGTGACTATGGTCCCAGCTGCCTTGAGATCATTGACAAGATCCTCCCATGTAGTTCTGCGCTGATTCCTCACCATTTTCATGATCATTGCAACTCCACGAGGTGAGATATTGCATGGAGCCCCAGGCCGAGGGAGATTGACAGTTATTTTGTGTTTCTTCCATTTGCGAATAATCGCATCAACTGTTGTCACCTTCTCACCAAGCTGCTTGGCGATGGTCTTATAGCCCATTCCAGCCTTGTGTAGGTCTACAATCTTGTCCCTGACATCCTTGGAGAGCTCTTTGGTCTTGGCCATGGTGGAGAGTTTGGAATCTGATTGATTGATTGCTTCTGTGGACAGGTGTCTTTTATACAGGTAACAAACTGAGATTAGGAGCACTCCCTTTAAGAGTGTGCTCCTAATCTCAGCTCGTTACCTGTATAAAAGACACCTGGGAGCCAGAAATCTTTCTGATTGAGAGGGGGTCAAATACTTATTTCCCTCATTAAAATGCAAATCAATTTATAATATTTTTGGCATGCGTTTTTCTGGATTTTTTTGTTGTTATTCTGTCTCTCACTGTTCAAATAAACCTACCATTAAAAGTATAGACTGGTCATGTCTTTGTCAGTGGGCAAACGTACAAAATCAGCAGGGGATCAAATACTTTTTCCCCCCACTGTATGATGTAAGCCCAGCCTGGCAAGAGAGCTCTCTCTCTCAAGAGCCTTACGTTCCTGCTTTCTGTATCCAATCTTTTCCCAGGGGTCACAGTTCAAATCTCTCTTTGGGACCCGTTTGTCAGGGGAGTGCTGGGTGAGGGAGGGAGGCAGAGGGGGGAGAAGAAGGTTGTTTTTGGTGGACAGTTCTAGGGAAGCTCAGAGCTGGAGCCAGTGGCCTTTGGGTCAAAGCTCATTGAAGGAGTGAAGGAGAGATGGTATAAAAAGAGTAGAGAGACTGAGAGAAAGAGAGAGAGGGGCCAATCTTTCAGAAGAGTGGATATACAACCAACTGGTGTGCCCGGAGGAACGATACTAGGATAACTTGACTAGGATAACTTGTGCATCTTCTCACGGCCCGTACACTCCTTCACGCTTCAGAGTCTCCATGGCCCTGCTGATGCAATGCTGGGTGTGTGTGATTGCTCTGTCACTGACGATGACCACCAGCCATGCCTTACGAAGGTAACCTTTTTCTTTGTGTATGTCTCACTGTATGAAGTCTACTCTGCAATATGTTATTGTCCTCAGTGTTATGGTCCTTCTGTGTAATGTTACCTACAATAGACACAAAGGAGGTTGAATGGATACTTGGGTGTATTTTATCCCTTTAAACCAGGCTCTTTTGCTTAACTAAATCAATAGAGAATGTGTATTTTTGGCAGAGCTGTAGAAACAACAATGTCATACAGACACGAGGACACATGGTCCCATATCACCAGTGGTCCATGATTGCAGGCTGGACTGTATAACCCCACCCCCATCCCACCCCTGGTCACTCCCTATCTATAATTATATTGGATGGTCTTTCCTTACCGTTGTCCGCTCTGATCAGGATTAGTCTGAAGAAGATGCCCTCCATAAGAGAGACTCTGCATGAGATGGGTGTGTCCCCAGCCCAGTTCTTCGCTGAATTGGCCCTGAAAAGCAAAGATTACCCTTCCCCCAGCAACGGGACCGCTCCCACCCCTCTCACCAACTACCTGGATGTGAGAGACCACCTGCACACACTGCACTGACCACACATAGATGCAATTGACATTGGAATAGTACATAAATGAGAGAACACAAAGCCTGTGCCAAACTCAGTGGTGTAAATGATTCATTGCTTCCTCTTCTCGCTTTTTCTCAGGCCCAGTATTATGGGGAGATCAGTATTGGTTCTCCTGCCCAGATGTTCAATGTGGTATTTGACACCGGTTCAGCCAACCTGTGGGTCCCTTCTTCTAACTGTTCCCCACTCTACACTGCCTGCTGTAAGTATACACACACACACACACACACACACACACACACACACACACACACACATGAAACCTGTGATTGCTTCACCAGAGATGATGATGTTCCCGGACGATTATGACTCTGTGACCTTTGAACTCTCAGTTACCCACAACAGATATGACGCCTCCAAATCACGAACACACATAGAGAACGGGACAGGTTTCTCCATCCAGTATGCCTCTGGAAACGTCCGGGGATTCCTGAGTGAGGATGTGGTTGTGGTGAGTGTAAAGCAACACCTCTACAGGGAAACAACCTTCCTTCCCTTTCTCCTAATCTGTTTCCTATTACTTCTCTTCATTGTGCTTTTTTGTGAAAGAATTTAGGAATAATAGTCGACATTGCCCATAAGTACTGATCTACAGTAGGATCATCTTACCGGGGGAAAACTTTTATCTAGGTATTATGGATCAACATCTTACTCTGTGCTTCCTCTAGGTGGGTGGCATCCCAGTGGTCCAGGTGTTTGCTGAGGTCACAGCCCTGCCTGCCATCCCCTTCATTTTTGCCAAGTTTGATGGGGTCCTTGGGATGGGCTACCCCAACGTGGCCATCGACGGCATCACCCCCGTGTTCGACCGCATCATGTCCCAGCACATCCTCAAGGAGGATGTCTTCTCTGTCTATTACAGCAAGTAGGAGATATCACTATCACTGTTCATGTACAGATTATTCCTCCACAAACACAAATAAAAAATTTTACAATCTGTGAATTAGTCAAAAATATGTTTTTCTTCTCTCAGAGACCCAATGCACAAACCAGGTGGAGAGCTAGTGCTGGGAGGGACAGACCCAGGTTACTACACTGGTACCTTCAACTACATGGGCACCAGTCAAGCAGGAAAATGGGAGGTCAACATGAAAGGGTGAGATGGGAAAGTTGTATATGTCTGCGTGCATGTTATCTGTATCTCTCTGTTTGTCTGTCGGTCAGTGCAGGTACACTTGCATATACAGTGAGGGAAAATAGTATTTGATCCCCTGCTGAATTTGTACGGTTGCCCACTGACAAAGAAATGATCAGTCTATAATTTTAATGGTAGGTTTATTTGAACAGTGAGAGACGGAATAACAACCCAAAAATCCAGAAAAACGCATGTAAAAAATGTTATAAATTGATTTGCATTTTAATGAGGGAAATAAGTATTTGACCCCCTCTCAATTAGAAAGATTTCTGGCTCCCAGGTGTCTTTTATACAGGTAACGAGCTGAGATTAGGAGCACACTCTTAAAGGAAGTGCTCCTAATCTCAGCTTGTTACCTGTATAAAAGACACCTGTCCACAGAAGCAATCAATCAATCAGATTCCAAACTCTCCACCATGGCCAAGACCAAAGAGCTCTCCAAGGATGTCAGGGACAAGATTGTAGACCTACACAAGGCTGGAATGGGCTACAAGACCATCGCCAAGCAGCTTGGTGAGAAGGTGACAAGAGTTGGTGCGATTATTCGCAAATGGAAGAAACACAAAAGAACTGTCAATCTCCCTCGGCCTGGGGCTCCATGCAAGATCTCACATCGTGGAGTTGCAATGATCATGAGAACGGTGAGGAATCAGCCCAGAACTACACGGGAGGATCTTGTCAATGATCTCAAGGCAGCTGGGAACATAGTCACCAAGAAAACAATTGGTAACACATTACGCCGTGAAGGACTGAAATCCTGCAGCGCCCGCAAGGTCCCCTTGCTCAAGAAAGCACATATACATGCCCGTCTGAAGTTTGCCAAGAACATCTGAATGATTCAGAGGAGAACTGGGTGAAAGTGTTGTGGTCAGATGAGACCAAAATCGAGCTCTTTGGCATCAACTCAATTCGCCGTGTTTGGAGGAGGAGGAATGCTGCCTATGACCCCAAGAAAACCACCCCCCACCGTCAAACATGGAAGTGGAAACATTATGCGTTGGGGGTGTTTTTCTGCTAAGGGTACAGGACAACTTCATCGCATCAAAGGGACGATGGACGGGGCCATGTACCGTCAAATCTTGGGTGAGAACCTCCTTCCCTCAGCCAGGGCATTGAAAATGGGTCGTGGATGGGTATTCCAGCATGACAATGACCCAAAACACACGGCCAAGGCAACAAAGGAGTGGCTCAAGAAGAGGCACATTAATATAGTGGCCTAGCCAGTCTCCAGACCTTAATCCCATAGAAAATCTGTGGAGGGAGCTGAAGGTTCGAGTTGCCAAACGTCAGCCTCGAAACCTTAATGACTTGGAGAAGATCTGCAAAGAGGAGTGGGACATAATCCCTCCTGAGATGTGTGCAAACCTGGTGGCCAACTACAAGAAACGTCTGACTTCTGTGATTGCCAACAAGGGTTTTGCCACCAAGTACTAAGTCATGTTTTGCAGAGGGGTCAAATACGTATTTCCCTCATTAAAATGCAAATCAATTTATAAAAATCACACCATCTGTTGTCACCTTCTCACCAAGCTGCTTGGCGATGGTCTTGTAGCCCATTCCAGCCTTGTGTAGGTCTACAATCTTGTCCCTGACATCCTTGGAGAGCTCTTTGGTCTTGGCCATGGTGGAGAGTTTGGAATCTGATTGATTGATTGCTTCTGTGGACAGGTGTCTTTTATACAGGTAACAAACTGAGATTAGGAGCACTCCCTTTAAGAGTGTGCTCCTAATCTCAGGTCGTTACATGTATAAAAGACACCTGGGAGCCAGAAATCTTTCTGATTGAGAGGGGGTCAAATACTTATTTCCCTCATTAAAATGCAAATCAATTTATAACATTTTTGACATGCGTTTTTCTGGATTTTTTTGTTGTTATTCTGTCTCTCACTGTTCAAATAAACCTACCATTAAAATTATAGACTGATCATTTCTTTGTCCGTGGGCAAACGTACAAAATCAGCAGGGGATCAAATACTTTCTTCCCACACTGTATGTATGTGTGTGGTGTGTGTAATTCTCTTTCTCCCCCTCTTGTCCCCCCCCTTCTCTACCAGGGTGTCTGTGGGGGAGGAGAGGCTGTTCTGTAAGGAGGGCTGCACGGCTGTGATTGACACAGGCTCCTCCTACATCACAGGCCCCGCCTCCTCTGTGTCTGTGCTGATGAAGACCATTGGAGCCACAGAGCTGGCAGAGGGAGGGGTATGTACATCGCAAATTGGGCAGATTCAATTATGCCGGGGGGCACCAGTCTATGGCCCGTGACGTGAACTGGCAAAAGCGGTGCGGGAGGAGCGCCCTTCTCAAATCGAACAGTAATCTGCGCCGCATGGTCATGTTGTCAACATGGCAGCATTGTGCATCGTCCAGAAACATACCACATTTATTTTCCATAAAACATATATTAGAATTTTCAAACTAGTTTTCATTGGGAAGGCAGATAAAAGGTTTTTAATCAAAAGCAATCACTTTTGCATGTTAAAACACAAAATCCTACTAATTACTCCACGTGCTTCTAAATCACTTTTATTTTGAGCTGACTTCTCCGTGGGCTTTGAACGGGGCATCTGGCTCATGCCCGGGAGGCAGCCCTGTTTCAAAACTAATGCAATTAACTTTCACACGCCGGCCCAGATTAATCGAATCCCCTCAGCCATAGATCTTTATCACCTGAACCGTCTCTTAAAGGGGCAATCCGCAGTTGAAACAATAACAAAGCATTTCCCCAACACAGTTTCCATAAAAAGCTGAGGGATGTGGCTGGAGAAATGTAACCATGCTCAAGTTTTAACCATGTTTTGAGTATATGCAGTGTTCATTTACATTTACTTTGTTTACAAACATTGGATTAAAACAAATTTATATTTTGGCTTCTGATGGGATATGACACTTGAACTAAGCTCATGAGGCATTTATAAGTCAAATGTTTCAAGAATCAATGGGTAGGGCCTACAAATCATTAATTTATAAGTCCAAAAATAGATGTAGCAACTGCAGATTGTCCCTTTATCTATCTTATCTTCAGAGGGGTATTACAGAAAGATGGTTTAACAAATTCAGGATTTCCTGAACATATCCGTCTTGTCTTAACCAGATGAGGGAGTCCAGGATTTCTTGGTTCCAGAATGGTTGCTTCTCGACTAAGTTATTAGGCTAAGCGAAGCGCAGATTGGTTGATCTGACAACTGGCACGTGCAGGCAACATTCAAAAAGGTCCTCATGTCGATGACAGAAAAAAACGTTAGATATGGAGTCAAAAGACAGAGCCCAATATTTCACATTTCTAGAACAAGAAACAATTGTAACAACATACAATGAATATGTTCACATATTTACCAAAAAAAGTAATACATCCGCTGCAGCAAAAGCCAGAGAGGGAGCCTGGCAGAAAATTGCAGACAGGGTAAGTGCGCAAGTGAAGTGGCACGTTTCCAATATCTAATAGGCCTAGCTTACACACATGGGTGATTAATAATAATGCTTTCACTTTATAGAGCACTTTTATTGCAACATTGGTTATATTAAGTGTCAAGGCTATGGCCTAATATGTAAGTTGTAGCAGCCTATGTCACAATTGCAATTTTAGGCCCATTCCATAGCCTATGTAGGATGAATAATAATTAATTGAATTCATAGAGTGCTTTTCATGACAACACGGGCGACAATGTGTGTTGTTTAGTTGTAACCCAATGGGAGTCACAGATCATCTGACAAAAGAAGTAAGGAAGATCTGTCAGTAATGCTGTAGGTGGGTGTAGTGGTGGAATCAAGCGCAGGACACCGAAGTATAGTCCAAAAGACTTTAGTGAAATTTCCAACAAGGAAAAATCGAACAAACTTGCCCGAAGGCGAAACTACGCACGTAGGCGACAAAACAAAAGGCGCACTACACAGGTGCGTAAAACGCTCCAACACAGTGGAGTAAAGCTCAACCGAGCGAATAAGTAAATCCTACAAGCAAACACACGACAGAAATAAATCAATCACACACAACACTAGACAAACACAACGAGAAACTTATAGGACACTAATTACACTAAACGATAACAGGTGTCACAACAAACAGACAAAAGCAAACGAACATAGAAACATGCAACGGTGGCAGCTAGTATTCCGGAGACAACGAACGCCGAAGCCTGCCCGAACAAGGAAGAGAGGCAGCCTCGGCCGAAACTGTGACAGTACCCCCCCCTTGACGCGCGGCTCCAGACGTGCGCCGACTCCGGCCTCGGGGACGACCAGGAGGACGCGGAGCAGGGTGCGTCGGGTGCCCACGATGGAATTCCGTCAGGAGAGACGGGTCCAAAATGTCTCTCCTCGGCACCCAGCACCGTTCCTCCGGACCGTACCCCTCCCACTCCACTAGATATTGGAGACCCCCCATCCGACGTCTCGAATCCAAGATGGACCTCACGGAGTACGCCGGTGCCCCCTCGATGTCCAATGGGGGCGGAGGAGTCTCCCTGATCTCACTTTCTTGGAGTGGTTCAGCTACCACCGGCCTGAGAAGAGACACATGGAACGAGGGGTTAATAGTTTTATATTCAACAGGTAGTTGTAATTTGTAACACACCTCGTTCAACCTTCTCAGGACTTTAAATGGCCCTACAAACCGCCGACCCAGTTTCCGACAGGGCAGGCGGAGGGGCAGGTTTCTGGTAGAGAGCCAGACTCGATCACCAGGTGCGTACACCGGTCCCTCACTGCGGTGGAGATCGGCGCTCGCCTTATGACGACGGAGGGCCCGCTGCAGGTGGACGTGTGCAGCGTTCCATGTCTCCTCCGAGCGCCGCGCCCACTCATCCACCGCAGGAGCCTCGATCTGGCTCTGCTGCCAAGGTGCCAGAACCGGCTGGTAACCTAACACACATTGAAAAGGGGTTAGGTTAGTGGAGGAATGGCGTAGGGAATTCTGGGCCATCTCGGCCCAGGGAATGTACCTTGCCCACTCCTCCGGCCGGTCCTGGCAGTATGTTCTAAGAAACCTACCCACATCCTGGTTCACGCGTTCCACCTGCCCATTACTCTCCGGGTGGTAACCCGAGGTGAGGCTCACCGAGACCCCCAACCGCTCCATAAAGGCTCTCCAGACCCTGGAGGTAAATTGGGGACCTCGATCAGACACAATATCCTCGGGTACCCCGTAGTGCCGGAACACATGGGTGAATAGTGCCTCGGCAGTTTGCAGGGCAGTAGGAAGGCCCGGCATGGGGAGCAAACGACAGGCCTTAGAAAACCGGTCCACAACGACCAGTATAGTGGTATTCCCCTGTGAAGGAGGAAGGTCAGTAAGGAAATCCACCGAGAGGTGAGACCATGGTCGTTGTGGAACGGGCAGGGGTAGTAACTTACCCCTAGGCAGATGTCTAGGCGCCTTACACTGGGCGCACACCGAGCAGGAGGAAACATAAACCCTCACATCCCTTGCCAACGTGGGCCACCAGTACATGGCACTAAGACAGTGCACTGTCCGGCCGATACCAGGGTGTCCAGAGGAGGGTGACGTGTGAGCCCAATAGATCAATCGATCCCGAACCTCGAGCGGAACGTACTTCCGACCCTCCGGGCATTGCGGTGGACTAGGGTCGGTGCGTAACGCCCGCTCGAGCTCAGCATCGACCTCCCACACTACCGGTGCCACCAGACACGACTCCGGCAGTATGGGAGTGGGCTCCACGGACCTCTCCTCCGTGTCATACCGCCGAGACAGTGCATCTGCCTTACCGTTCTGTGACCCAGGGATGTACGTGATCTTAAATGTAAACCGGGTCAAAAACATATTCCATCTTGCCTGGCGAGGGTTCAGCCTCCTCGCTGCCCGGATGTACTCCAGGTTACGGTGGTCCGTCAAAATGAGGAAAGGGTGTTGAGCCCCCTCAAGCCAGTGCCTCCACACCTTTAGGGCCTGTACCACGGCTAACAGCTCCCTGTCCCCTACGTCATAGTTTCGCTCCGCCGGACTGAGCTTCTTGGAATAAAAAGCACAGGGGCGGAGTTTAGGTGGCGCGCCTGACCGTTGTGAAAGCACGGCTCCTATACCGGCCTCTGACGCGTCCACCTCTACCTGAAATGGCAAAGAGGGATCCGGATGCGCCAGCACCGGGGCCGAGGTAAACAGGTCCTTCAGCCTCCCAAACGCCCTGTCCGCCTCGGCAGACCACTGCAGACGCACCGGACCCCCCTTCAAAAGAGACGTGATGGGAGCTGCCACCTGTCCAAAACCCCGGATAAACCTCCGGTAGTAATTCGCAAACCCCAAAAACTGCTGCACCTCCTTCACAGTGGTTGCTGTTTGCCAATTACGCACGGCTGACACCCGGTCTACCTCCATCTTCACCCCTGACGCAGACAACTGATACCCCAAAAAGGAGACCGACTCCTGGAAAAACAGACACTTCTCTGCCTTAACATACAGGTCGTGCTCCACCAGCCTCCGCAACACTCTGCGCACCAGGGCCACATGCTCGACTCGGGTAGGCGAGTACACGAGAATGTCATCTATGTACACAACCACCCCCTGCCCCTGCATTTCCCTGAAGATCTAATCCACGAATGATTGGAAAACTGACGGAGCGTTCATCAACCCGTATGGCATGACAAGATACTCGTAATGGCCCGAGGTGGTACTAAAGGCTGTCTTCCATTCATCGCCCTCCCTGATGCGCACCAAGTTGTACACGCTCCTGAGATCTAATTTAGTGAAGAAACGCGCCCCATGCAATGACTCAGTCATGGTCGCAATCAGCGGGAGTGGATAACTGTACTTCACCGTGATCTGATTGAGACCACGGTAATCGATGCACGGGCGTAACCCACCATCCTTTTTCTTCACAAAAAAGAAACTCGAGGACGCAGGGGAAGTGGAAGGCCGTATGTATCCTTGTCTCAGAGATTCGTCTATGTAAGTCTCCATAGCTTTCTTCTCCTCCTGAGACAGAGGATACACATGGCTCCGTGGAAGCGCAGCTCCTGCCTGGAGGTCTATTGCACAATCTCCCTGCCTATGGGGCGGCAACTGCGTCGCCCTCGACTTACTAAACGCAATAGCCAAATCCCCATACTCAGGGGGAATGTGCAATGCGGGCACCTGGTTTGGACTCTCCACCGAGGTAGCCCCTACGGAAACGCCCAAACATCGACCCACACACTGGGCAGACCACTCCATCAGAGCCCTCTCCTGCCACGAAATAGATGGGTTATGGGTACTCAACCAGGGCATGCCCAGCACCACCGGATACGCAGGCGAGTCGATCAGAAATAGCTGAATCATCTCCTGATGACCCCCCTGCGCACACATCCTAAGTGGCGCAGTGACCTCCCTGATCAAGCCCGCACCCAACGGACAGCTATCTAGGGCATGAACGGGGAAAGGGACATCAACAGGGAGAAGGGGAATCCCTAAGGCTAAACAAAACTTCTTATCAACAAAATTCCCAGCCGCGCCTGAATCTACCAGCGCCTTATGCTGGGAATGAGGTGCTACCTGTGGAAAACGCACAGGTATACAGAAATGTGCAACAGAGAGCTCTGGGTGAGTGGGGCGCCTACTCACCTGGAAGGACTCCCCAGTGCGGGACCTGTCGTCCTCTCCCCTAGGAGGCCAACCCCAGCACCTAGCCGCGGTGTGTCCTCCCCGACCACAGTTGGTGCAGGAGATGGACCCCCTCGTAAGCCGACCCCTCCTCTCTCTAGCGCCAGCGCCCCCGAGCTCCATGGGGCACGGCTCGGAGGCGCTGGAGGGTGAAATGGACGGACCCCCCTCGGAACGTCCGCGGGTAGCTAGCAGGTTATCCAGCCTGATGGACATGACGACCAACTGGTCGAACGAGAGGCTGGTGTCCCTACAGGCCAGCTCCCTACGGACGTCCTCGCGTAGACTACATCTGTAGTGATCGATGAGAGCCCGCTCATTCCACCCTGCATCCGCCGCTAGAGTACGGAATTCTAAGGCGAACTCCTGGGCACTCCTCTTCCCCCGCCGCTTTCCCCTCCGGGGGATGGTCAAACACCGCCCTGAAGCGGCGGGAGAACTCGTCGTAGGTGATGTTGTTCGCGTCGATCCTCCTCCACTCTGCGTTGGCCCATTCCAACGCCTTCCCGGAAAGGCAGGAGATCAGGGCGGACACGCTCTCATGTCCCGAGGGCGCCGGGTGCACGGTGGCCAGGTAAAGCTCCACCTGGAGAAGGAATCCCTGACACCCGGCCGCGGTCCCATCGTAGGCCCTCGGGAGCGAGAGTCGAACTCCTCTGGGTTCAGGAGCGGGAATGGGCTGACTTGCCGATGGTGCTGGCAGAGAGGATGGCGGTGGAGGAGTCCCCCAGCCTCAGATGGTGGTGATCACCTCCTGCAGTGCGGACCCCATCTGCAGGATCTGGTCACTCTGTTCACGGACCCTGTCCTCCAGCGTCGCCTGGGCTGCTGCGGCTCCTGCTGATTCCATTCTTGAAGGTGTGTGATTTTGTCAGTAATGCTGTAGGTGGGTGTAGTGGTGGAATCAAGCGCAGGACACCGAAGTATAGTCCAAAAGACTTTAGTGAAATTTCCAACAAGGAAAAATCGAACAAACTTGCCCGAAGGCGAAACTACGCACGTAGGCGACAAAACAAAAGGCGCACTACACAGGTGCGCAAAACGCTCCAACACAGTGGAGTAAAGCTCAACCGAGCGAATAAGTAAATCCTACAAGCAAACACACGACAGAAATAAATCAATCACACACAACACTAGACAAACACAACGAGAAACTTATAGGACACTAATTACACTAAACGATAACAGGTGTCACAACAAACAGACAAAAGCAAACGAACATAGAAACATGCAACGGTGGCAGCTAGTATTCCGGAGACAACGAACGCCGAAGCCTGCCCGAACAAGGAAGAGAGGCAGCCTCGGCCGAAACCGTGACAAGATCATTGAATTGAATGACTGTTTCTGAAAATGATTTGGTATGGTAAAAGTGTAGGCTACAGTATTCAATAGCTACCTGTTTGTTTATGCTGTGAAAATATTTTGTCTAGAGTGTCTTTGAATGGGGGATATATGTCCCATCTATAGCACCAATAACGTTGGGAAAATCTGCAGGATGAATTAGGCTATTTATCAATTTTATCATGTTGCCTATGTTTATTAATTTGAGAATAGCAAAGCATTAATGGCAGTCAACTGACCGCAGCCTACTGTAAAAAGTCCTCCTTGATTATATGGACATCTTGATGGCCAGGGAATGCAACAAAGACATTAAAAAATATATTCAATGCGAGGCAGATTCTTATTATAGCTCTACACACAGTTGCCTTGCCAAATAGTTCAGCATCACATTGTACAGGAAACTTCCAGTGGCAAAAAAATCACTAAGCAATACACAGAGTTTGTATAGCAGTCAAAGTGAAACAGCGTTGGGTTACATTTGCTTTATATTGGTTGAGTAAATTGACCAGATATATGAGTGATTGCGCTGAAAAATTATAACTTTCAAAAATAACTTCTTCTGAATGATCTAAAGGATGTATTCGAGGTCCAATAATTCATTCCTATTGTAACAATGTAGGCTCCGATGTCAAGTGGATTTTCCAAGAAAGGACAGGCCATAGTGACAAACAAGAATCTAATTGGCGGATAAGTCCCGTATTTATTCACCAGGATAGGCTAAGATCATTCTAACCTAGTAGGTAGCTGGTTTGCTTCAGAGCATTCGTTGCTATGGTGTCTGATCAGGCTATCTTTCAAGCTTTCTTTCTGGAGCCGGAAATTCTGAGTTTGCACAAGTTCTGGGTTGACAAATCTCCTTAAGTCACAAATCCGGCTTTCTGAATACCTCTCTGGTGTGGACTAAGCTGTGTTCTTTGTCCCCTTTTCAGTACACTGTGAACTGTGACCTGGTGAAGTCCTTACCCAGTGTTACCTTCCAACTGGGAGGCCATGAGTACACCCTCACCGAAGAGGACTACATCTTATGGGTAAGCAACATGGAAATGAGCATGACTGGGATACAGGTACAGGGCGATTGTCATTTATACCTTTGCAGCTATTATTTCATGTTTATTTTGTGCTTATTCCATGGCATTGTTGAATACTCATTTTTGATTGGCTGGAAGGGTATTCTAGAACGTGCATTATTTCCCTAAAACGCACGGTATATCAGCACGTTAGAATTCAATGGCTAGTTCATTCTTACACGTTCTATGTTTGAGCTGCTTTTGAAAGTGTCTCGCCCTGATCGAGAGAACTCTTGTTGGTTGGGTCAGGGTGTGAGTCTTCTGTTTAGATTCTATGTTTAGAGTCTAGTATTTGTATTTCTATGTTTGGCCGGGAGTGATTCCCAATCAGAGGCAGCTGTCGCTCGTTCTCTCTGATTGGGGATCATACTTAGGCAGCCAGTTATCCTGCCTGGGTTGTGGGATCTTGTTTGTGTATATCCTTCCGACGTCATGTTTCGTTGCCGTTTGTTATTTTGTCAGTGTGTATTCAGTTTAATAAACATGTTCGCATATCATGCTGCACCTTGGTCTGACCCATCTCTCAACGACCATGACAGAAAGAAAGTCAAATTGAAAACATTAACGTTATTGCATTGTTGAATTTGATTTTCATAATAGCAAGCTAGGACTGATTGTTTGGTTAGCTAAACTAGCAAGTCTGTTTGCTTGGTTACCAAGGCAACTGCTGTAGTAAACTTGCTAGCTACTTCATGGATGTTGAACACCGCTTACAAAAAAAGATTGCAGTTTTGAAACTGCAGTAAAAGTGCAGTAACTGCAGTTGACAGTGGTATTTTGGACGCAGTAATTGCAGAATAACTGCAGTGTACTGCAGTTGAACTGCAGTTGAACTGCAGTTATACTGCACTCTAACTACACTTACACTGCAAAATTACTGCAGTAAATAAAAGGTGTTCTTTTCGACACAGTATTTGCAGCATACTGCAGTTATACTGCACACTAACTACAGTTATACTACAGTGTACTGCAGTTATACTGCACTCTGGGACATTTCTACCTACAAATGAACACATCTTAGTGGCAAATGTGTTCAATTATAGCCATGGTATAAAAGGGATAATCAACTCAGGGCTCTATGCAACTCCGTGGAAGATTAGTTCCACTCCGCAAGCGCGTTATGGAACATACCGTCCACGTAGTTCATTATTTGCAAATGGAACGCATAGCCCCTCGTTGATTACCCCTTACTTATAGCTGTGACATTGCATTATAAATGCATTATAAATATATATTTATGGAAATCTTTACCAAGATGTTTTGAACTCTATCTGTGTCTGCAGCAATCTCAGTTTGGAGAGGACATATGTAGTGTGACCTTTAGGGGTTTGGATGTGCCGCCCCCTACTGGTCCTATCTGGATCCTGGGAGCCAACTTCATCGCCCGCTACTACACAGAGTTTGACCGTCACAACAACCGCATAGGCTTCGCCACAGCAGTCTGACAGGATCCTCCACTTAGCCACCAAGCTTTCACTCTATCTTGCTCTTACTCTTTGTTACTGTCTTATACTATCAGCCTCTATTTCTTTTCTTTTTAAACAATCCTCATGTAATAGCATTATGTCCGACCTCATATCTGCATTGTCATGACGTAACAAGAATAAAGGTTGTTTAATGGAAATGTCTATATTCTTGTAGTCTGCAGTCGAGGAATTCTGTTTGCACTCTATGTTATCAGAATGGCTGTGTTTGTCATCATAGGAAAAACAAGCAGAAAACATAGTGTTCTTAATTCACCGACCGCAGAAACACAAGCGTCTTTTTTTAGGAGTGGGGCACCCACATGAAAAAATATACTAGTTTACTATAGAATATTACAGTACTTACTATAGAATTCTGTAGTAAACTGTAGTATACTGTACTACACACTGTAGTATCCCTCAATCATGTGTAGTACTTACTATAGAATGTTGCAGTATACTGCAGAATACTATGGTAAATACTACTGTATTATCTGAAAAAGAAACACTGTAGTAAATACTACAGTAACGTCCGCAAAAACAGTGCAAAAACACAAAAACATTTTCACTATAGTAAATACTACAGTATTTAATTTGCATATTCCCTGCCCATTCCCCTCTCCATATCCCAATTTGTGCCACCCATAAGTGAGAAACCTACATACCAAGTATATATCATATATTGTGTTCCCTACAGGTTATAGAAAATGGCAGAAGCTCTGAACTATCCATTCAGACCATAGTCCTACCGACCTACAGGTTGTGGAGAAAAAATAGTTTTGTATTTCTCTAGAAGGTTTCCTCAAGGAGAAAGCCTCCACTTCGATGTCAAAGATAATACAACCAAAACACTATAGTATATACTACAAGAATTTCAGCAAAATTACTACAGTAAATATTACAGTACTGTAGATTCAATGGCTGTAAATATGGGGAGAGGTCTGTCCTTAATAAAGAGATGCTCTGCTTTTTTGACACCACACTCCACAAAGCAAGTCCTGCAGGCTCTAGTTTTATCTTATCTTGATTATTATCCAGTCATATGGTCAAGTGCTGTGAAGAAAGACCTAGCTAAGCTGCAGCTGGCCCAGAACAGAGCGGCACATCTTGCTGTTCATTGTAATCAGAGGGCTAATATTAATACTATGCATGCCAGTCTCTCTTGGCTAAGAGTTGAGGAAAGACTGACTGCACCACTTGTTTTTATAAGAAACTTTAATGTGTTGGAAATTCCAAATTGTTTACTTGGTCAACTTACACACAACACTGACACACACACATACCCCACCAGACATGCCACCAGGGGTCTTTGCACAGTCCCCACAGTAAATTGTAAAGTATTTTGTCTGTAATGTATTTTTCCGTATGTGTCGGACTCCAGCAAGACACCATTGGCGTCGGCTAATAGGGATCCTAATAAATTAAATAAAAACATTAAACAAATCAAGTTGGTTGTTGATCATTGCTAAACAGCCATTTTCAAGTCCTGCCATAGATTGTCAAGCCGATTTAAGTAAAAACTGTAACTAGGCCACTCAGGAACATTCAATGTTGTCTTGGTAAGCAACTCCAGTGTATACTTGTGTCACGATCGTTGGTTAGAGATGAGGACCAAGGCGCAGCGTTGAAGGTGAACATATCCTTTATTTTACTGATCACACGATCAAAACAATAAACGATAACGTGACGTCTACGGTTTAACACAAACCGAAATGAACAAGAAACCACAAACACCACGTGAAAGACAGATAGTTAAATATGGCTCCCAATCAGAGACACCCAGCAGACACTCGTTGCCTCTGATTGGGAGTCACTCAGCCCAACATAGAAATATCAAACATAGAATTTCACACCCTGGCTCAACATAACATTGTCCCCAGAGCCAGGGCGTGACAGTACCCCCCCCTAAAGGCGCGGACTCCGGCCGCGCCAAACAACCACAACAGGGGAGGGACCGGGTGGGCACTCCGCCTCGGCGGCGGATCCGGCTCCGGACATGACCCAGGCACGGGTTGTGCTGGACTGACGACGCACACCCCTGGCTTGATGCGTGGAGGAGGAACGGGCCGGACCGGGCTGACGAAGCGCACCCCTGACTTTGTGCGGGGAGCAGGAATGAGCCGGACCGGGCTGACGACGCGCACCACTGACCTGGTGCGGGGAGCTTGGATGGGCCGGACTGGGCTGGCGACGCGCACCACAGACTTGGTGTGGAGAGCAGGAACGGGCCGGACAGGGCTGACGACGCGCACCACTGACCTGGTGCGGGGAGCTTGGATGGGCCGGACTGGGCTGGCGACGCGCACCACAGACTTGGTGTGGAGAGCAGGAACGGGCCGGACAGGGCTGACGAAACGCACCATAGACTTGGTGCGGAGAGCAGGCACGGGCCGTGCCGGACTGACGACGCACACCACTGGCCTGGTGCGGAGCGCAGGAACGGGCCGGGCTGGGCTGTCGACGCACACCGTAGGTTTGGTGCGGGGAGCAGGAATAGACCGGACCGTACTGGGGACACACACCACTGGCTCTACACCGGGATCTGGAACGGGCCGGACCGGACTGGCAACACACGCCAGTACCTCTCGCCGTGCCTCTACACCTTCCATCCCCTCTTCTACCAGTGGCCCCCGTAACCTGGCGGCCTCCTCTGCAACCCCGCTGGACCGCTCCATAGCGGCCTCCTGCTGCCCCGACGTCGTGAGCCCCCCCCTAAAAAAATTCTGGGGGTCTCTCCTCCCCGTGGGCCAGGCCTCCATCATTCTCGCCCACCTCTCGCTCCTCTGTCTCCAACCCTCGTCACTCAGCTCCTCAATGGGCTTGACCCAGTCGAAGCTGCCATGGAGATCTATTAGCGATGGCTCCTGGACACGCTGCTTGGTCTGGTTTTGGTGGTTTCTTCTGTCACGATCGTTGGTTAGAGATGAGGACCAAGGCGCAGCGTTGAAGGTGAACATATCCTTTATTTTACTGATCACACGATCAAAACAATAAACGATAACGTGACGTCTACGGTTTAACACAAACCGAAATGAACAAGAAACCACAAACACCACGTGAAAGACAGATAGATAAATATGGCTCCCAATCAGAGACACCCAGCAGACACTCGTTGCCTCTGATTGGGAGTCACTCAGCCCAACATAGAAATATCAAACATAGAATTTCACACCCTGGCTCAACATAACATTGTCCCCAGAGCCAGGGCGTGACAACTTGGCCTTGTGTTTTAGGTCCTGCTAGTCCTGCTGAAAGGTGAATTTCCTTTAGGATTTTGCATGTGCTTAACTCTATTCCATTTATTTTTATCCAACAAAACTCCCTAGTTCTTGCCGATGACAAGCATACCCATAACATGATGCAACCACCACCATGCTTGAAAATATGAGGAGTGGTACTCAGTGATGTGTTGTGTTGGATTTGCCCCAAACAAAACACTTTGTATTCAGGACATAAAGTTAATGTCTTTGTCAAATTTATTGCAGTTTTACCTTAGTTCTTAACACAGGATGCATGTTTTTAAATATGTTTTATTCTGTTTAAGCTTCCTTATTTTCACTGTGTCATTTAGGTTAGTATTGTGGATTAACTACAATGTTGTAGATCCATCCTCAGTTTTCTCCTATCACAGCCATTAATCTGTAACTGTTTTAAAATTACCATTGGCCTCATGGTGAAATCCCTGAATGGTTTCCTTTCTCTCCAGCAACTGAGTTAGGAAGGACGCCTGTATCTTTGTAGTGACTGAGTGTATTGATACACCATCCAATAATTAATAACTTCACCATGATCAAAGGGATATTCATCTTCTGCTTTTTTTTTACCCATCTACCAATAGGTGCCCTTCTTTGCGAGACATTGGAAAACCTTTCTGGTTTTTGTGATTGAATCTGTGTTTGAAAATCACTGCTCGACTGAGGGACCAGTCTATTGACGCACCCGTGTGTCAATCTAAGTAACATAATAAAACAATCCCCATCAAAATCCTATATTTCTTGCATGGGCTGCGTCTCAATCTGCAGTGGAAGGTGGCCGAGCTACAGCGGTGTTTGTCAGACTATAAGACATCCTGAAAATCGGTCTTCTAACGATAACTTCTGCAGCGTCCGAACGGTTTGGCCTAGAAAATGAATAAGACCCGAACACGATGGTGTTCCCCGTTTTGAAGGTAACCCATAAAAAATGAATGGAAGTATGGAGGAAGTTTTGTAGCAAGTATGTGTAATATATACAGTGGGGAACAAAGTATTTAGTCAGCCACCAATTGTGCAAGTTATCCCACTTAAAAATATGAGAGAGGCCTGTAATTTTCATCATAGGTACACGTCAATTATGACAGATAAATTGAGGAAAGAAAATCCAGAAAATCACATTGTACAATTTTTTATGAATTTATTTGCAAATTATGGTGGAAAATAAGTATTTGGTCACCTACAAACTAGCAAGATTTCTGGCTCTCACAGACCTGTAACTTCTTCTTTAAGAGGCTCCTCTGTCCTCCACTCGTTACCTGTATTAATGGCACCAGTTTGAACTTGTTATCAGTATAAAAGACACCTGTCCACAACCTCAAACAGTCACACTCCAAACTCCACTATGGCCAAGACCAAAGAGCTGTCAAAGGACACCAGAAACAAAATTGTAGACCTGCACCAGGCTGGGAAGACTGAATCTGCAATAGGTAAGCAGCTTGGTTTGAAGAAATCAACTGTGGGAGCAATTATTAGGAAATGGAAGACATACAATACCACTGATAATCTCCCTCGATCTGGGGCTCCACGCAAGATCTCACCCCGTGGGGTCAAAATGATCACAAGAACGGTGAGCAAAAATCCCAGAACCACACGGGGGGACCTAGTGAATGACCTGCAGAGAGCTGGGACCAAAGTAACAAAGCCTACCATCAGTAACACACTACGCCGCCAGGGACTCAAATCCTGCAGTGCCAGACGTGTCCCCCTGCTTAAGCCAGTACATGTCCAGGAACGTCTGAAGTTTGCTAGAGTGCATTTGGATGATCCAGAAGAGGATTGGGAGAATGTCATATGGTCAGATGAAACCAAAATATAACTTTTTGTTAAAAACTCAACTCGTCGTGTTTGGAGGACAAAGAATGCTGAGTTGCATCCAAAGAACACCATACCTACTGTGAAGCATGGGGGTGGAAACATCATGCTTTGGGGCTGTTTTTCTGCAAAGGGACCAGGACGACTGATCCGTGTAAAGGAAAGAATGAATGGGGCCATGTATCGTGAGATTTTGAGTGAAAACCTCCTTCCATCAGCAAGGGCATTGAAGATTAAACGTGGCTGGGTCTTTCAGCATGACAATGATCCCAAACACACCGCCTGGGCAACGAAGGAGAGGCTTCGTAAGAAGCATTTCAAGGTCCTGGAGTGGCCTAGCCAGTCTCCAGATCTCAACACCATAGAAAATCTTTGGAGGGAGTTGAAAGTCTGTGTTGCCCAGCGACAGCCCCAAAACATCACTGCTCTAGAGGAGATCTGCATGGAGGAATGGGCCAAAATACCAGCAACAGTGTGTGAAAAACTTGTGAAGACTTACAGAAAACGTTTGACCTGTGTCATTGCCAACAAAGGGTATATAACAAAGTATTGAGAAACTTTTGTTGTTGACCAAATACTTATTTTCCACCATAATTTGCAAATAAAATCATTAAAAATCCTACAATGTGATTTTCTGGATTTTTTTTTCTCATTTTGTCTGTCATAGTTGACGTGTACCTATGATGAAAATTACAGGTCTCTCTCATCTTTTTAAGTGGGAGAACTTGCACAATTGGTGGCTGACTAAATACTTTTTCCCCCCACTGTATTAATATATATATACACTACCAGTCCAAAGTTTGGACACACCAACTCATTCAGGGGATTTTCTTTAATTGTACTATTTTCTACATTGTAAAATAATAGTGAAGACATCAAAACTATGAAATAACACACATGGAATCATGTAGTAACCGAAAAAGTGTTAAACAAATCAAAATATATTTTATATATAGACACCCATTGCCTTGATGACACTGACAAAGACATGATCAGTCTATAATTTTACTGGTAGGTTTATTTGAACAGTGAGAGATAGAATAACAACAAATAAATCCAGAAAAACGCATGTCAAAAATGTTATAAATTGTAGTTGTAGTTGTAAATGGCTATTGTAGCTGGAAACGGCTGATTTTTTACGGAATATCTACATAGGCGTACAGAATCCCACAGAACATTTACATTTTAGTCATTTAGCAGACGCGAGTTACAGTTAGTGAGTGCATACGTGGGAATCGAACCCACAACCCTGGCGTTGCAAACGCCATGCTCTACCAACTGAGCTACATCCCTGCCGGCCATTCCCTACCATGGACGACGCTGGGCCAATTGTGCGCCGCCCCATGGGTCTCCCGGTCGCGGCCGTCTACGACAGAGCCTGGATTCGATCCAGGATCTCTAGTGGCACAGCTAGCACTGCAATTCAGTGCCTTAGACCACTGCGCCACTCGGGAGGTCATAACATCTTAAATTGGCTCTAACCAGAATAGAAAGAGGAGTGGGAGAACCTGGTGCACAACTGAGCAAGAGGACAAATACATTAGAGTGTCTAGTTTGAGAAACAGACACCTCACAGGACCTCAACTGGCAGCTTCATTAAATAGTACCCGCAAAACACCAGTCTCATCGTGAACAGTGAAGAGGCGACTCCGGGATGCTGACCTTCTAGGCAGAGTTGCAAAGAAAAAGCCATATCTCAGACTGGCCAATAAAAAGAAAAGATTAAGATGGGCAGTCTGAGATATGGCTTTTTCTATGCCAAATTCTTTCCATTTTATTTATAATTTTTTTAATTACAGTTTGTAAATTACAAGAAAGGCTAATAGTTTGTTAACACAATCTGCTCTAATTCGCTCACGAAACAGTAATTCAAGAGATGAAAATGCATATTCCCATGAAACTGATTGAGATCAATCAAATGATTGGCATGGAGATGCAGTTTGGACATTTCACCGGTAAAACATGCCGAATTTTCATTCACAATTGAGAGTGATGATGGCCTATTTTGAATTTAGGTAGCCTATGCCTAATTTGGTGTTTGAGGGTATTACAAATATTGTAAAAAATTATTGAGACAATATGTATGTGGGCATAGGCAGACATTGCAAGTGGAGGATGCATTTTATGCATATTCGATAGTGATATTCTATAGTGTACTCTGTCGGTACAAACTTTGATTGAGGAAATTATAACATAATTAACTTTTTTTTTGTGCTCCCTCACCTAAAAAAATAGCATTACACTACTGACAGGGTCACATCTTCTCCTTCAACGTCCTCTACTGCTCATTCTGTGTCTCCTTGACCTGCCGCCACTCCACCAGTACTCTCTCCCTCTCCCTCTCTCTCTCTGTGTGTGTGTGTGTGTGATTGTGTGGGCGGAGACAGGTGTGCTGGAGTCAGAGCAGATCTCCACCAGCTGCAACCTGTTCCATAATCAAGACCTCTACAAATACTCAGTCCTGCCACTTCCACACTGCCAGATCGTAATCTCTGCTCATTCTGCCCGCTCTGACTTTGGTCCCTATCTCCAGTCCTACGTCTCGTCATCCTGCTACTCTGTCCTGGATTCCCCACTCTACTACTCCATTGGATTCCCCTCCGGACCTGCTCACCCTGTCTCAACCCCCCTCGCTCCAGCCTCAGCCTCCGCACCTGGTTTCCAGCAGTTTCCCCTGACCTGCACTCCATCTCCCACCGTGTCTCAATAAATACCTTGGTTCCTTCATCCCAGTCTCCTCGTCTGAGTCTGCTCTTGGTTTCCGCTGTTCCACTCCGCGTAACAGACAGTGATACTATAGTATTTCTACCAAGGATAGTATTTTTTTATGTGGGGAAGTCCCACTCCTTTTTGATTTGTTTTGCTTTATTGAAGAAAGACGAGGAAGTTAGGGGAGGGTGAGTCAAAGGGCAGTGAGCTTGATTCAAACCCATACCGACTCTGGCATACATGTGTGCTGGGATCAGCAGCTGTAACCGCTGGACCCCACTAGCCACGAACACAAGCATAATGTCTGTACAGAAATAAACAATCCAGACGTCTTCTATTTTGAGTCACATTATTAATATGTCTCATCCTCTGAAGTTGAGCTAGAGATGAATTGATATCAGACTGTGTCTTAGTCCTAAATTCTGGCAGCCTTAGGTCTTGCACAATGTGTTAATCTAATGTGGCACTGATGGCGTGAAAATAGCACACATTGTATGTGGTGGATGCGGGGTGGATGTAAAAACCGGTTGAGTGATTTATTCTCTTTCCTGCTGTTCTCGCCCCTCTGAAGATGCCTTTCACAGCGTGGTGTCTGAACACTCATCCTTATGTTATTATCTTCTCACTCTCTTTTCTCTCTGATTGCTCTCTCTTGCTCTCTCTTGATGCTGTGCTTTCTCTCACCATGTGCCAGCTGGCTGGGTCATTATTTAAAAAATGTGTATGAGCATGTCTATTTTTCCACCATTCATGGGTGTAAGTGGAGTGAAGTAATTCTACTTCAGCTAAACTTAACATCTACTGTATTGTGGAGTGATTCCTCTGAAACGAAACAGGACAGGATGGAAATGTCCCATGATGTCCTCAAGGAAACATAAGGCCATTTCAGTGTACAGCTCAATCATAACGGTCAGAGGTAATGATCAATCACAGGTCGGAAAGGTCATGCTTAGTCATAGCAACCTGTCCCTGGAGGATGACGTTGAAAGTGAAACCTGCTCTGCAAACAGAATTACTGAAGATAGACTCTGTTCGTGTATCTTTAACCTCAGTTCTAGTTAGTAGACACAGAAAGAGATAAAAACAATACATGCTGTCATATTTGTTGAGAACTATTGTGGGGTTGTTTTCATAGGGGAAGTCTGTGCAGTGATGGAGGGTATAAAGACAATAAAGATACCTAGACTGGAAGACAAACAACAGTTTCCTTGCCCTCATCCCAGCACATCCATGAATTGTTTAACTTTAAAAAATAGAAGATACTAGCACTGCTACTTTTAACCCTGGTACTTTGGAACACGCATAACAGAGTGTTTTGTAAAAGGCAATAACCTTTGAGCTCACTCGATAGCTCTTATTTTTCTGAAGAAAAATGTTTTAAGTCCGATGTCTCAGATACAGGGAAGCAGGAGAACAAAAGGAAGCAAAATAAATAGACTCTGATTGGTTGAAGGATAACTAGAGTTGTCATGCCCATAGGGGCACAAAGGGCACGTGTCCCCTCAGATTTGTCCTGTTTAAAAATAAAAATCAGATGTTAAATTAATTATTAAACTTAATTTTTAAACCCAAATTTTATCATAATTATATATAAAAAGATATGTCAGCAGTGTTTTGTGGAGAGGGCAGACTGACTGTACCAGGCAAAGAGAACTCTGCATCCCATTATTCTAGCTAGTAAGTGGTTCCTTCCAAGGTGCACCACAAAGTAAAGATATGGTAAGCAGGAAGCTAGATACTCTAGTGCGTGCACACACAGCATTTTATTTGATTTTAGCTGCTGGTGATGGGCAGGACCCCCATCTTATTGATTCTTTCTTGATTAATAAATTAAACAAAAATGTTTTGTTGTTTCTCTGTAATACTAATCACCTAGCAATTTTATGAAGTTGGCATTAGCTAGCCCAGATAGGTTCCCAATCTCCCAACCTCATAACTAGCTACCAATCAATTTCAGGCTATCAATCAAGTTAGAGTAGCTAGCTTGTCTAACTATCTTATCTGGCATGCCTGCTGGTAAGGTTGGTAGACTTTAGAAAAGCAAGAAATTACTAAATCTACTGAAGACTCATTCCTTTCAATCTTTTACCCAGATTTTAGCAGAGATACAGAGAAGCATATTTATCTTTAAAAAAGAACCACCAGTCAGGAGGATACAGACAGCTCAAGAGGTATGCTTAGATATGCATAAAAATCATTGGTTTAAATGCAATCTGGCACCTTATGATAATATGATAATATTTGTGTATTAATTATGATGCCATGATATGTGCCTGTATTGATGATGAGTGTTATGATCCCATGTACTGTGTGGTAATTTGGATGTAATATCCTAGGCATGCTAGTGCAGTATATTGATATGTGTGATTTACAACAGTCAGAATGACACCCTCAAAATGACAATTGAACAGGTAAAGCGGTATGCTTAGATAAACTATTCTGGAAAAAAAATACATATTTTTTACATAGAATTAGGCATAATGATTTTGGCTCTAGATTGCAAGAAAAAGCTGTTTCTCCAACCCTCCATCTTCACATACTTCGTGGCCCTTCAAAAATAATGGGTTCATGACACCCCTGAGGACAGCACACCAGATGACAAGAGGAGAAACCAGGCATAAACAAGTAGGCAAAATGGAAACCAGGCGAAGATCTGTTTTGGATCAAACGTTATATTGTTATTATGATACTGGTATGTGTGTCGCTAGGTGTTGGGTTAAGGAGTGAAAAGTGTGCTCCCTGTTCGCTTCTCCCTTAGGGTGATCTAGATGTGGGCTATTGATACAGTGATAAAGAAACTCAACCTCAAACTCAAAGAAATGCAAACTGGCATTCTTAATGGTACACAAAGTTGAAATAGATTGTAAAAAACACAATGTTTGAGTCAATGTACTTTCACCAGGATTTACTTTATTTTCTCTGCCAGATGTTTATTTGGCATATTAACATCCATACTGGGAGAGCTGAAAAGTTAAAGAGAATTTCCTATGTCCAGGAATTTACTATAAAATATATGGCACAATGTGTTGAACATCTGTAAGGCATTATCACCTTGCGCTACCTGTGTTTCTGTGAAGCATTGCATCTAAGTGTAGTTGCACAGTGGTTCCAAAAGTTTATTCTGTGCAGGGAACCAAGACCACATAAAACATTTTAGTTATCTAGAAAACTAGACCAATATTTGTCTCAAGTCATGACCCTCCAGCGGTTAATGGAAAAACACCAAGCTGGGATACGGAGCATAGTTTCCTGTGGACCATATGAGAGAGAGCAGGAGGAGGGAGATCTTAAAACAGTTTCTGAGTTACAGCTAAGGCAGGCAGTCACACTGTGAGCGCTAAACCTTTCGGAGGGGAGTAAAACCACATCACTCCATGCTGGGGGAACCTCAGATCCTTCCACGCCACAGGACTGTCAGGTTCTCTTTAGTGCATACCTTGTCTCCAGAGGTTTACTAGAGGGATTGATCAGGGCTAGAAGAGGAGAGACTCATCCTCTATCGGCTCCAATGCTTCTGACAGAGGAGTCTGGTCTTCTCTATTTTCGTAGGTGAGCCAGATGAACCTTCACGTGCCAGCCCACATTCAGTGCAAAACCAAGGTAAGAGACACAGTTACTTCTGCATGATACAATGCTCTTTTGAAGGAAATCTTTTGTCAAAACTTCCTTTGACATTGACGGTATTCTGTTTGATTCGTCTACAATTGCAGCATTTTTCCCTGCGAGTTGATCTTAAAATAAAACAATTAAATAATCTACAGTATGTCCCTCATTTGTAAGTGTGAATGTACTTCTATTTTTTGTTTTAGTGACATCAAATAAAATAAAATTGTATTTGTCACATACACGTGTTTAGCAGATGTTATTGCGGGTGTAGCGAAATGCTTGTGCTTCTACTCTGACAGTGCAGTAATAAAATAAATAAATAAATAAATAATATCTAACAATTTCACAACATGCAACAATTTCAAAGATTTTACTGAATTACAGGTCATATAAGATAATATAAGTCAATTGAAATACATTTATTAGGCCCTAATATATGGATTTCACATGACTGGGAATACAGAAATGCATCTGTTGGTCACAGATACCTTAAAAAAAGGTAGAAGCATGGATCAGAAAATGCCTGCCCATACCATAACCCCACCGCCACCATGGGGCACTCTGTTCACAACATTGACATTAGCAAACCGCTCGCCCACACGACGCCATACACGTGGTCTGCGGTTGTGAGGCCGGTTGGACGTACTGCCAAATTCTCCAAAACGACGTTGGAGGTGGCTTATGGTAGAGAAATGAACATTACATTCTCTGGCAACAGCTCTGGTGAACATTCCTGCAGTCAGCATGCCAATTGTACGCTCCCTGAAAACTTGAGACATCTGTGGCATTGTGTTGTGTGACAAAACGGAACATTTTAGAGTGACAAGATGCACCTGTGTAATGATCCTGCTGTTTAATCAGCTTCTTGATATGCCACACCTGTCAGTTGGATGGATTGTCTTGACAAAGGAGAAATGCTCACTAACAGGGATGTAAGCAGATTTGTGCACAGAATTTGAGAGAAATAAGCTTTTTGTGCATATGGAAACTTTCTGGAATCTTTTATTTCAGCTCATGAAACATGGGACCAACACTTTACATGTTGCGTTTATATTTTTGCTCAGTGTAGTTGTACATTTTCAGGTTTGTCTCCAACAGGTTTGAAATGAATAGATGTAACTACTGATGAAAACGATCAAACACGGCATGGGTGGTTAACTTCACATCATGTGACTATAATGTACAGTACTGCATGAATGTGGATCATCTGTATGGAAGCTCGTTGATTGTTATTTTCGATTATTACAGAATTCCCCTCAACTAAAGGCCCATCTCAAACAACAGGAAAACAAAAACCTGAGTCCATTTTTTAAAAACAAAACCAGGAGATGGGATGATGTAGAAACAGAGAGAAAACATTGTGTGTCACATAGGATTCTAAGAACAGTGTAGTAAAGTCCAAATGCTATTCAATCATCCACTGTGCAACAAACCACAAAATATGGTTTCAATATTCATAGGAACAAAGTCCAATGAGAAATAGGAAATATGATGTTTTATATATTATTTAAAGCTATATTCCACAGTTGAAACAATAACAAAGCGTCACCCTGCCTTTGTTTTGGTAAAAAGCTGAGGGATGGTCCTGGAGAAATGTAACCACTCTCAAATTCATAGACAGAGCTAAGGATGCAAGGACTGACCATCCATGATATAAAAATTATAGTTGTACCATGTTTTGACACTATACAGTGTTGGATTACATTTACGTTGTTTAAAAACAAATAGAGTAAAACCAGCGTATATTTTGGGTTCTGATGGGGTATGACATGTGAACTAAGCTCATGAGGGATTTATAAGTTAAATTTTTTAAGAATCAATGGGTATATACAGGTAACTGTCTAAATAAAGTCTTAATTGGGCGCTGCCATGACAACTTCAATGCGCCTTGGCATAGATTGTCTGGAACTCTATTGGAGGGACACAAACCAATTTTTCCACAATAAATTCCATATTTTTGTGTTTTGTTGATGGTGGTGGAAAATGCTGTCTCAATTGTCGCTCCAGAGACTCCTCTTTCAAAGTCACTGAGATCTCTTCTTCTAGCCATGGTAGCCAAAATAATGGGCAACTGGGCATTTTTATATATGACCCTAAAGATAATGGGATGTTTTATTTGCTTAAATAACTCAGGAACCACACCTGTGTTGAAGCACCTGCTTTCAATATACTTTGTATCCCTCATTTACTCTTTACTTTATTTAGGCAGTTATCATTAATGTATAAGTCAAAAAATTGATGTATCAACAAAGGATTTTAGCTTTAACATATAATATTCAAAAAAAGTCAACACATTTTTTACTCTTTAATTTTTCTGTTCATGAAGCTGATACGTTTCACCATTGGTTTCAGATCTTCATCAGAGCAACAATAAACATGGTTTCCCTCCCTTTCAGGTAAAGTGTCTCTGTGTGATAGTGTTCCTGAGTCTCCCCTTGACCATGGGAGACCCTGGTCCATGCAGACACTCTATTACCAGACATCACCTGCTGACCATAAGACGCCTGGTGAGTAGTACAGCTAGAACGAACAATAGAAAAAAACATGAACAAATTAAAGTTGTATAAAACTCGTATAATATGAAAAAATGAATTAAATCAAATCAAATCAAATTTTATTGGCCACATGCGCCGAATACAACAGGTGCAGACATTACAGTGAAATGCTTACTTACAGCCCTTAACCAACAGTGCATTTATTTTTAACAAAAAAGTTTAAATAAAACAACAACAAAAAAAGTGTTGAGAAAAAAAGAGCAGAAGTAAAATAAAATAACAGTAGGGAGGCTATATATACGGGGGGTACCGGTGCAGAGTCAATGTGCGGGGGCACCAGCTAGTTGAGGTAGTTGAAGTAATTTGTACATGTGGGTAGAGTTAAAGTGACTATGCATAAATAATTAACAGAGTAGCAGCAGCGTAAAAGGATGTGGTGGTGGGGTGGGGGGGGGGGGGGGCAGTGCAAATAGTCTGGGTAGCCATGATTAGCTGTTCAGGAGTCTTATGGCTTGGGGGTAGAAGCTGTTGAGAAGTCTTTTGGACCTAGACTTGGCACTCCGGTACCGCTTGCCGTGCGGTAGCAGAGAGAACAGTCTATGACTAGGGTGGCTGGAGTCTTTGACAATTTTGAGGGCCTTCCTCTGACACCGCCTGGTTAGAGGTCCTGGATGGCAGGAAGATTGGCCCCAGTGATGTACTGGGCCGTACGCACTACCCTCTGTAGTGCCTTGCGGTCGGAGGCCAAGCAGTTGCCATACCAGGCGGTGATGCAACCAGTCAGGATGCTCTCGATGGTGCAGCTGTATAATTTTTTTAGGATCTGAGGACCCATGCCAAATCTTTTCAGTCTCCTGAGGGGGAATAGGCTTTGTCGTGCCCTGTTCACAACTGTCTTGGTGTGTTTGGACCATGATAGTTCGATACATAACCAAGAGTGATCTATTGGTGAGATTTCCAAAAATACATTTTTGATATATCACTGTGGGGAGCATATTAAAGTTATGGCCAAGTTTACATTTTTGCAGTTAGACAAGAACCATTAGACATTCATTGGGATTGTTGAATGTAGATCATATTCCTGTCATGAACACAAGATATGAGAAGTTGATATACAGTTGAAGTCGGAAGTTTACATACACTTAGGTTGGAGTCATTAAAACTCGTTTTTCAACCACTCCACAAATTTCTTGTTAACAAACTATCGTTTTGGCAAGTCGGTTAGGACATCTACTTTGTGCATGACACAAGTAATTTTTCCAACAGTTGTTTACAGACAGATTATTTCACTTATAATTCAATGCATCACATTTCCAGTGGGTCAGAAGTTTACATACACTAAGTTGACTGTGCCTTTAAACAGCTTGGGAAATTCCAGAAAATGATGTCATGGCTTTAGAAGCTTCTGATAGGCTAGTTGACATCATTTGAGTCAATTGGAGGTGTACCTGTGGATGTATTTCAAGACCTACCTTCAAACTCAGTGCCTCTTTGCTTGACATCATGGGAAAATCAAAAGAAATCAGCCAAGACCTCTGATATTTTTTTTTTTACCTCCACAAGTCTGGTTCATCCTTGCCTGATCTGTACAAACAATAGTACGCAAGAATAAACACCATGGGACCACGCAGCCGTCATACCGCTCAAGAAGGAGACATGTTCTGTCTCCTAGAGATGAACGTACTTTGGTGCGAAAAGTGCAAATCAATCCCAGAACAACAACAAATAACCTTGTGAAGATGCTGGAGGAAACAGGTACAAAAGTATCTATATCCACAGTAAAACTAGTCCTATATCGACATTACCTGAAAGGCCGCTCAGCAAGGAAGAAGCCACTGCTCCAAAACCGCCATAAAAAAGCCAGACTACAGTTTGCAACTGCACATGGGGACAAAGATTGTACTTTTTGGAGAAATGTCCTCTGGTCTGATGAAACAAAAATAGAACTGTTTGGCCATAATGACCATCATTATGTTTGGAGGAAAAAGGGGATTGCTTGCAAGTCGAAGAACACCATCCCAACCGTGAAGCACGGGGGTGGCAGCATAATTTTGTGGGGGTGCTTTGCTGCAGGAGGGACTGGTGCACTTCACAAATAGATGGCATCATGAGGAAGGAAAATTATTTGGATATATTGAAGCAACATCTCAAGACATCAGTCAGGAAGTTAAAGCTTGGTCGCAAATGGGTCTTCCAAATGGACAATGACCCCAAGCATACTTCCAAAGTTGTGGCAAAATGGCTTAAGGACAACAAAGTCAAGGTATTGGAGTGGCCATCACAAAGCCCTGACCTCAATCCAATAGAAGATTTGTGGGCAGAACTGAAAAAGCGTGTGCGAGCAAGGAGGCCTACAAACCTGACTCAGTTACACCAGCTCTGTCAGGAGGAATGGGCCAAAATTCACCCAACTTATTGTGGGAAGCTTGTGGAAGGCTACCCAAAACGTTTGACCCAAGTTAAACAATTTAAAGGCAATGCCACCAAATACTAATTGAGTGTATGTAAACTTCTGACCCACTGGGAATGTGATGAAAGAAATACAATCTGAAATAAATCATTCTCTCTACTATTATTCTGACATTTCACATTCTTAAAATAAAGTGGTGATCCTAACTGACCTAAGACAGGGAATTTTTACTAGGATAAAATGTCAGGAATTGTGAAAAATTGAGTTTAAATGTATTTGGCTAAGGTGTATGTAAACTTCCGACTTCAACTGCATATCTTATTAATGACTTCTAACAGATATGTTGGTTTCTGTGTTTATTTCTGTTTAACATAGATAGATAACCAGTTGCAGAGTGGATGCTCAATAACCTACACATTAATTGAGCGGAGAAGTTTGGTAAGGTCATTTTTATACATCATGTGCAGTGAAAACATGGGAGATCATAGGCAAATTCATAAAGAACATTAGTTTATACTTTTAGTTAACTATGTTTTGTTTTTTTACTTTAAGAAATAAAACTTTGTTTGGTTTTGGTACGAAAGGTTACAAATGATGTGCTATTATTTGAGAGGAGTGCCAGAAAGTATCCAATGTCCACCACATAATTGATCCTAAAAGGACTGTAAAAATAAGCATTACCTATTAGTATTATGGCCAGGTTAATCTCACCTACCAGCCGGCTCTATGTGGTAGCAATTGCACCTGGGGATGAGGTTATGGCTAGGCCAGAGTAAGTCACTGATATCAAACTAATATGAATATTGACTGTTCTTCTTCCATTCCCTGACAGAGTAAATGTTGCTATGTGAAAGCTGCCCTGCCCTGGATCTTGGAGCTCCTGACCAGCCACTTCAGATACACCCAGGGCTCAGACAACCACAGCTACGTCCTGTCTCTGATCGGTCTCATCCACAACATCTACTCTCAGAGATGTGTACCACAGATCAACGAGGAGCTGGAGGTGAGGGGGTGGTTTGATGCTGAAGATATCTCTTGAATAACAGCCTAAGTTGGGTGTTTTAAAGAGGATTTAAGGAACTTAAAACTAAGCTCATAACACTCTTGTATAATTGTATTGATAGGACATGTACATTTTACCAACATTCCTCTCTGACTCTATTGACCAGGATGACCCAGTGAGGTTTGGGATGTCATTCAGCAGTTCCCCATCAGAGGCACTGGGGAGGGTCCAGGATGTCCTGTCTGAGTACTGGGAGCTGGTGACCACCAGGGACTCCCCAGTAGACTGGAGCTGTGAGAGGGAGTACACAGACACAGCAGAGCCCCCCACAGCCCTCCCTACAGCGCTCTCTCTGACTACAGGTGGACAACTTCCTCAAGGTTCTTGAGAGGTTCCCTGGCGAAGGCCTAAAACTGGGAATTACATTATTATAGAATATAATGATACAGTATGGCAATTTATCAAAGTAGCTTACAGAATCAGACCCACTGTCCTCTGGTGTTTGTTGTATGCTTGAACTAGCCGAGCGATCTGATGATCGTAACCTGGACCTTGTCCATATTTTAACCCGGCTGTTATGACCTGTCTCGTCGTCCACAGTAAGCACCTTTTGGGACTCAGCGAAAGCCCCTCAGACTGGTCTAGATGGAGACCAAGATGGAGACCTGAAGTTTGATTTCATGGTCATAGCTCCATCAGTCTGTGGAGTACTGCTGTTCATATTCACTCTCTATTGCCTCATCACACACAAGGTAATAATGCAGACTGACAAGTTACATTTACATTGCATTTTAGTCATTTAGCAGACGCTCTTATCCAGAGCGACTTACAGTAGTGAGTGCATACATTTTCATACTTTTTTCATACTGGTCCCCATGGGAATCGAACCCACGCGTTACAAGCACCATGCTCTACCAACTGAGCCACACGGGACCACGTGTGAGTTGAAGTTAACCTTTTACTGCGGTGGGCTAAATCAAGGTCACTCAGAGTGTTTCTTGGTAGTCTTAAACAAATCTACTTTGAAACAAAAGTATACACCTCACACACATTGTTATGGTATTAAGAAAAATAGTTGAAATGTATTCAATTCTGAGTTTGCATCCCAATATTACACTTTATGTACATCACAGAAGACTGAAATATAACTAAACCATTTGACATAGAAACATAGGATTTTCGGCATAAAAATATATATAATGTTTATTAATTATGAAATTATGAAAAATATTAATAGAATTCCATCCATGAGACATTAAGCGGGCAATTTGGTCATTTGACTGCAGGAATTCATAATCAGCATTAAAGACCCCTGCTGCGTTTAAATTCAGTATCACAGTAAAAAGTAAGAAAAGGCAGAAAAAAACATGTTTTAAATGCAATTGACACATTTGTTTATTTGTGTGATTTTGTTCCACCACAGATGTTCCACAGTACTTATCAACACACATCACAAGTGTACCAAAACTCAAGGTAAAGTATCACACAGTATCTAGTGTAATCAAGGCAATGCAAAATGATGACAAACAACACATATATGTAACTTCTAATTCAAAGTTTTACTTATAGTTTGCGTACAGATATTCAGGACATAGAGATGCAGGTGCAATAAAGTGAGTATTATTTTCAGTCCATCTATCATCTGTCAGTCTGTCCATGTATCTGCTGAATACTGAATACTCTTCCTCTCTGCCAGAAGGCCATAAAAGACAGATTGCTACTGATGGAGGAGCACATCTGGAGATGAGGATTTACCTGAAGCTCTCATCTCTAATACATAAAGTCCAATAGTGTTAGACATTCCATAGAAATTTCCAGTATTTTTCTGGTACGGCAGGCACCATAAGCACTATCAATGGATTTTAATGAACCTTCTCTTTTTGATAAGCCTTTCAAGTAGGGGATGTTTTGATTATCTATATTGTATATTGTGTGTGTATACAGTGCATTCAGAAAGTATTCAGATCCCTTGACTTTTTCCACATTTTATTATGTTACAGCCTTATTCTAAAATGTATTAAATTAAAAATGTTCCTCATCAATCTACACACAATACCCCACAATAACAAAGCGAAACATAAATACCTTATTTACATATGTATTCAGACCCTTTGCTATGAGACTCGAAACTGAGCTCAGGTGCAGCCATTGATCATCCTTGAGATGTTTCTACAACTTGATTGGCGTTCACCTGTGGTAAATTGAATTGATTGGACATGATTTGGAAAGGCACACACCTGTCTAAATAAGGTCCCACAGTAGACAGTGCATGTCAGAGCAAAATCCAAGCCATGAGGTCGAAGGAATTGTCCGTAGAGCTCCGAGACAGGATTGTGTCGAGGAACAGATCTGGGGAAGGGTACCAAAAAATTTCTGCAGCATTGAAGGTCCCCAAGAACACAGTGGCCTCCATCATTGCTAAATGGAAGAAGTTTGGAACCACCAAGACTCTTCCTAGAGCTGGCCGCCCAGCCAAACTGAGCAATCGGGTGAGAAGAGCCTTGGTCAGTGAGGTGACCAAGAACCCGATGGTCACTCTGACAGAGCTCCAGAGTTCCTCTGTGGAGATAGGAGAACCTTCCAGAAGGACAACCATCTTTGCAGCACTCCACCAATCAGGCAATTATGGTAGAGTGGCCAGACGGAAGCCACTCCTCAGTAAAAGGCACATGACAGCCCGCTTGGAGTTTGCCAAAAGGCACCTAAAGAACTCTGACCATGAGAAACAAGATTCTCTGGACTGATGAAACCAAGATTAAACTCTTTGACCTGAATAACAAACATCACGTCTGGAGAAAACTTGGCACCATCCCTACGGTGAAGAATGGGGGTGGCAGCATCATGCTGTGGGGATGTTTTTCAGCGGCAGGGACTGGGAGACTAGTCAGGATGTAGGGAAAGATGAACGGAGCAAAGTACAGAGAGATCCTTGATGAAAACCTGCTCCAGAGCGCTCAGGACCTCAGACTGGGGTGAAGGTTCACCTTCCAACAGGACAACGACCCTAAGCACACAGCCAAGACATCGCAGGAGTGGCTTCGGGACAAGTCTCTGAATGTCCTTGAGTGGCCCAGCCAGAGCCTGGACTCAAGCCCGATCTAATATCTCTGGAGATACCTGAAAATAGATGTGCAGCGACGCTCCCCATCCAACCTGACAGAGCTTGAGAGGATCTGCAGAGATGAAACGGAGAAACTCCACAAATACAGGTGTGCCAAGCTTGTAGCGTCATACCCAAAAAGACTTGAGGCTGTAATCACTGCCAAAGGTGCTTAAACAAAGTACTGAGTAAAGGGTCTGAATACTTATGTAAATGAAATATTTCAGTATTTATATTTTTAATACATTTGGAAACATTTCTAAAACCTGTTTTTGCTTTGTCATTATGGAGTCTTGTGTGTAGATTGATGAGGAAAATGTTATCCAATTTAATCCATATTAGAATAAGGCTGTAATGTAACAAAATGTGGAAAAAGTCAAGGGGTCTGAATACTGTCCAAATGCACTGTGTATACGGCATATGTGCTCTCCATCATGTTGTACAGTACCAGCCAAAAGTTTGGACACACCTACTCAATCAAGGGTTTTTCTTTATTTTTACTACACTGCTCAAAAAAATAAAGGGAACACTTAAACAACACAATGTAACTCCAAGTCAATCACACTTCTGTGAAATGAAACTGTCCACTTAGGAAGCAACACTGATTGACAATACATTTCACATGCTGTTTTGCAAATGGAATAGACAACAGGTGGAAATTATAGGCAATTAGCAAGAGTCCCCCAATAAAGAAGTGGTTCTGCAGGTGGTGACCACAGACCACTTCTCAGTTCCTATGCTTCCTGGCTGATGTTTTGGTCACTTTTGAATGCTGGCGGTGCTTTCACTCTAGTGGTAGCATGAGACGGAGTCTACAACCCGCACAAGTGGCTCAGGTAGTGCAGCTCATCCAGGTTGGCACATCAATGCGAGCTGCGGCAAGAAGGTTTGCTGTGTCTGTCAGCGTAGTGTCCAGAGCATGGAGGCGCTACCAGGAGACAGGCCAGTACATCAGGAGACGTGGAGGAGGCCGTAGGAGGGCAACAACCCAGCAGCAGGACCGCTACCTCCACCTTTGTGCAAGGAGGAGCAGGAGGAGCACTGCCAGAGCCCTGCAAAATGACCTCCAGCAGGCCACAAATGTGCATGTGTCTGCTCAAACGGTCAGAAACAGACTCCATGAGGGTGGTATGAGGGCCCGACGTCCACAGGTGGGGGTTATGCTTACAGCCCAACACCGTGCAGGACGTTTGGCATTTGCCAGAGAACACCAAGATTGGCAAATTCGCCACTGGCGCCCTGGGCTCTTCACAGACGAAAGCAGGTTCACACTGAGCACATGTGACAGACATGACAGAGTCTGGAGACGCCGTGGAGAACGTTCTGCTGCCTGCAACATCCTCCAGCATGACCGGTTTGGCGGTGGGTCAGTCATGGTGTGGGGTGGCATTTCTTTGGGAGGCCGCACAGCCCTCCATGTGCTCGCCAGAGGTAGCCTGACTGCCATTAGGTACCGAGATGAGATCCTCAGACCCCTTGTGAGACCATATGCTGGTGCGGTTGGCCCTGGGTTCCTCCTAATGCAAGACAATGCTAGACCTCATGTGGCTGGAGTGTGTCAGCAGTTCCTGCAAGAGGAAGGCATTGATGCTATGGACTGGCCCGCCCGTTCCCCAGACCTGAATCCAACTGAGCACATCTGGGACATCATGTCTCGCTCCATCCACCAACGCCACGTTGCACCACAGACTGTCCAGGAGTTGGCGGATGCTTTAGTCCAGGTCTGGGAGGAGATCCCTCAGGAGACCATCTGCCACCTCATCAGGAGCATGTCCAGGTGTTGTAGGGAGGTCATACAGGCACGTGGAGGCCACACACACTACTGAGCCTCATTTTGACTTGTTTTAAGGACATTACATCAAAGTTGGATCAGCCTGTAGTGTGGTTTTCCACTTTAATTTTGAAGGTGACTCCAAATCCAGACCTCCATGGGTTGATACATTTGATTTCCATTGATAGTTTTTGTGTGATTTTGTTGTCAGCATATTCAACTATGTAAAGAAAAAAGTATTTAATAAGATTATTTCCTTCATTCAGATCTAGGATGTGTTGTTTAAGTGTTCCCTTTATTTTTTTGAGCAGTGTATTTTCTACATTGTAGAATAATAAACGATGAAATAACACCTATGGAATCATGTAGCTAATCAAAAAAGTGTTAAACAAATCAAAATATATTTGAGATTTGAGATTCTTCTAATAGCTACCCTTTGCCTTCATGACAGCTTTGCACACTCTTGGCATTCTCTCAACCAGCTTCATGAGGTAGTCACCTGGAATGCATTTCAATTAACAGGTGTGCCTTCTTAAAAGTTAATTTGTGGAATTTCTTTCCTTCTTAATGCATTTGAGCCAATCAGTGTTGTGTCGTGACAAGGTAGTGGGGGTATACAGAATATAGCCCTATTTGGTAAAAGACCAAGTCCATATTATGGCAAGAACGGCTCAAATAAACAAAGAGAAACGACAGTCCATCATTACATTAAGACATGATGGTCAGTCAATACGGACAATTTCAAGAACTTTGAAAGTTTCTTCAAGTGAAGTCATAAAAACCATCAAGGGCTATGATGAAACTGGCTCTCAGGAGGACCGCCACAGGAATGGAAGACCCTGAGTTACCTCTGCTGCAGAGGATAAGTTCATTAGTTACCAGCGTCAGAAATTGCAACCCAAATAAATGGTTCACAGAGTTCAAGTAACAGACACATCTCAACATCAACTCTTCAGAGGTGACTGTGTGAATCAGGCCTTCATGGTCGAATTGCTGCAAAGAAACCACTACTAAAGGACACCAATAAGAAGAAGAGACTTGCTTGGGCCAAGAAACACGAGCAATGGACATTAGACCGGTGGAAATCTGTCCTATGGTCTGGAGTCCAAATTGGAGACTTTTGGTTCCAACCGCCGTGTCTTTGTGAGACGCAGAGTAGGTGAATGGATTATCTCTGCATGTGTAGTTCCCACTGTGAAGCATGGAGGAGGAGGTGTGATGGTGTGGGGGTGCTTTGCTGGTGACACTGTCAGTGATTTATTTAGAATTCAAGGCACAGTTAACCAGCATGGCTACCACAGCATTCTGCAGCGATACGCCATCCCATCTGGTTTGCATTTAGTGGGACTATCATTTGTTTTTCAACAGGACAATGACCCAAAACATACCTCCAGGCTTTGTAAGGGCTATTTGACCAAGAAGAAGAGTGATGGAGTGCTGCATCAGATGACCTAACCTCCATAATCACCCGACCTCAACCCAATTGAGATGGTTTGGGATGAGTTGGACCGCAGAGTGAAGGAAAAGCAGCCAACAAGTGCTCAGCATATGTGGGAACTCCTTCAAGACTGTTTGAAAAGGCATTCCTCATGAAGCTGGATGAGAGAATGCCAAGAATATGCAGAGCTGTCATCAAGGCAAAGGGTGGCTACTTTGCTAAACACTTTTTGGGTTACTGCATGATTACATATGTGTAATATCATAGTTTTGATGTCTTCACTATTATTCTACAATGTAGAAAATAGTAAAAATAAAGAAAAACCCTTGAATGAGTAGGTGTGTCCAAACCTTTGACTGGTATTGTATGTATATATATATGTTTATAACTTGACTTAAAATCAATATGTTCTAATAATGTCTATGGCGATTGGTGAATGATGTGCCCTTGTCCACTGTATATATAAAAAAAAAAAAATGTTTTGTTGTTTCAAATCAATTAAATAAATGTAGTTAAACTGTTACAAAAGTTTCATTAGACAAATTCCTATCCAGTTACCGCCAACATTACTGGTAATAATACTGAACTAATAGGTTTTGTACCATTATATTGCTTCCAGTTCTTTG